TACCATTAGATAGATTCAGTACATAGCTCTTCAGTTATCAATCTAAGTATCAGATTACTCTCTACTCTGATAGCTCCAAAGGCAGTGAACACTTGCATCGCTTATTGAGACTTGTACAGTTCCGTATTCAAGGACTTAGCACTTTAATACCGCTCTTGTTAGCATAAACCCCCTTTGTATACTTTGGAATCTTCGGATTGCTGCAGTGCTCATTACAGCTAGAGCGCTAACAGATTAGCAAAACAATAGAAGCAAGATTCTCAGCAAGTCAGTTTGCTCTGGAGCAATAAGGAAAAGCTTCAGAATGTGAATTATGAATTCATACAGAAAAAACCTCGAAACTAAGCTCTCAAGTAGTTAATTCAGCCTGAAGCGAACGCTTAAAGCTCTTGAAAATGCTATTGGAAAAGAAGTATACTCAACAGTATCTACTATTCCTTCAGATAGCAGAAATAATATAGAGATCAGAATCAATACTTGCAAACATATTACAAGAATATTATAAGTTCAAGAAACTATTTCAGAAAGAATTGAATATAGAATTGCTAGAATATAGCTTATACAATCATGAGATCCTGCTATAAAAAGAAAAACAGCTTAAATTCTTCCCTATCTACAGACTAAACAAAGTATAGCTAGAAATACTTAGAAAATATCTTGATAAGAATTTTAAGAAAGAATATATATAATTATTGCAATTATTAGCAGAATATTCTATTCTGTTTATATTTAAGAAAAATAATAAGCTTAAGCTATATATTAATTATAAGCAATTCAATAATATTATAATTAAGAATTAATATCTATTATTACTTATTAAAAAATTACAAAATAGATTGCAAGAAGCATAGTAGTTTACAATTCTAAATCTAAAAGAAGCTTATAATCTGATTAGAATAAAAGAAGAAAAAGAATGGAAAACTGCTTTCAGAATATACTATAAATATTACAAATATTTAATTATACTTTTTAGTTTAACAAATATTCTAGCTTTATTCCAGAAAATAATTAATTATATTCTATACAAGCATCTGAATTAGTTCATTATTGCTTATCTCAATAACATTCTTATCTACTCTTGAATACTTAAAGAATATAAGAAATATGTAGAAACAGTATTGCAAATGCTTCAAAATGCAAAACTTCTTATAGAACTTGCAAAAAGTTACTTTTATATATAAAAAGTTAACTATCTCGGATTTATAATCAAGCTAGGATGTATTAAGCTATAGAAAGATAAGATAGAAGCTATTAGGAATTAGCTAATTCTTAGGAATATTAGAAATATTAGATTCTTTCTTAAATATATTAACTTCTATAAGCAGTTTATTAAGAATTATAGCTGAATTATATATCCTTTTATAAATCTTATCAAAAGGAATTAACTTTTCGAATGAATCTCTAAGGCATAAGAAGCTTTTAATAAGATTATTAAGCATATTATTTCAAAGCTAGTTCTGTATAAAGCAGATCTCTATAAACTCTTTGAAATTAAAATCAATATATTAGAATATATACTTGGAGAACAATTTGATTAATAAGATAACCAAGAATATTTAAGAATTATAAGCAACTTCTTAAAGAAGTTAAATAGCTCAGAAATCAACTATAGAATCCCTAATCAGAAGTTTATAGCAATAGTAAAAGCTTTTAAAGAATAGTAATACTATTTTATTAATACATAATACTCAATTATAGTTCACTCGAATTATAAGAATCTAATTATATTTATAATAATTAAGATTTTGAATAAGCAATAAGTTAAATAAGCAGAATTTCTTTTACAGTTTAATTTCAAGATTGTATATTACAAAAGCTTGGAGAATGAATAAGCAAATGCTCTTAGTAGAAGATCAGACTATTGAAATACAGATTCTTCGAATATATAAAATATCTTTGTTTAAGATAAATCAGAAAATCTCATCAATGTATACAGAGAACTGAATACTGCTCTTAGAATAGAATTCTCAGAAAAGAATTCAGAATTAATAATTTCAGATAAACAAAACAATTATATTAAGAATATATATAGTATACTAGTATATAGATATTAGAAAGTTAAAGCAATCTATGAATGTATTAGAAGATACTGAAATTTATTAAGCTTTAGGAAAAGAATTGAAAACATTTTATAATAATGCAATAGCTACAAAAAGAATAAAGCAGAAAGATATAAGCTTTATAAACTACTATATTCCTTATTAATATTTATAATTATTTAGCAATCCATCAATCTAAACTTTATTACTAAGCTATTTCTCTTACAAGAACTCTTAACTAAAGTATAATATAATAGCATTTTAGTAATAGTTTGCAAACTAAGCAAGTATACTTACTTTCTTCTTTATAAGAAAAGCAGTATAGCAAAGAAACTTATATATACATTCCTCAGAATAATTATTACTAACTATAGCATATCAGAAGAAGTAATCTCTAATAGAAATAGAAAGTTCAATTTAAAGTTTTGAACTTTGCTTATAAAATAGCTTAGAATATACTATAGAATATCTACAGCATTTCATCTGCAAATAAATAAATAGATAAAAAGAATAAATTAGATTATTAAACAATATCTTTAATATTATATTAACTAGAAATAGAATAACTAAATTAATCTATTACTTCTTATATAATTTGCTTATAATAATATAAATATAAGTATAACAAAGAAATCATTATTCTTCATACTCTATAAATACAATCCAATAGCTTATTACAAAGTATTGCTAGAAGCAGATGTAGAAGCTGCAAATAAAAGAATTAAGAAGATTAAGAAAGTTTAGAAAGAACTTCGATCAGAATTACAATTTGTTCAGAAATGAATAATATAATATGCAAACTTCAAAAAAATTAAGAAATCAATCCTATAGAAGGAAGATAAGATCTATCTACTTCGAAAAAATATTAAAATAATTAGATTTAGCAATAAACTTGATTATAAGAAGTTGAAGCTATTCAAAATTCTGTAACAGATTTCCTTAATTAATTATAAATTAGCATTATTTCATAGAATAAGAATATATCTAGTTTTTCATATCTTATTATTAGAACTAGTAGTACAGGAAATATTAATGAATAATATAACAGAAATAGAAAATAATAAATCAGAGTATGAAGTAGAAAAAATCCTTAAGCATAGAAGCATAAATAATATAAGAGAATATTTCATTAAATAAAAAGATTATTCAGCAAGTGAAAATTCATGGAAACTACAGAGGAATATTGAAAATGCTTAGAAAAAGATAGCTGAATATTGGAAAAGAAAAGCTAGCATCTAAGACAATTGCTCCGCCTCAAACTAAGATTCAGGGGCTTCAGAGATCTTGCTCTTCAGAAAACCCAACTAATCTATCACTGCATTCTTCACATTCAAGGAATTCCAATCGAAACCTTCAGAGAAAGAATCCACAGAAACAGCAATAAGCTCTGCAGAAATCACAGCCTACACTTCAGCAGCTATGCACTTTCATTCCTCCTTCTTCAGATCCTCATTCACCAGCTTTATCCTCTTCTCCTGAAGAAAGCGTTGCTGCTTCTTCAGCTGCAACAAACAAGCTAGCAATTCGTTCATGCAAGCCTGAAGTTCCAACAACTGCTCCTTCTTCTCAAGCTTGCACTCATCAATATGAATTAACTTATCAGTAATCCGGAATACTAAGAGGAAAGATCTTAGTTAATAAAGAAAAACATTCAAAAGAAAATACTAATAGAAAGAAACAAGCATATAATCTGTATTGCAAAAACAATTCTGCTTAGTATATTACAAACAATTCTTTATTCTATCTATTATTTTATACAATATTTCTTCTTTCAAATACAAAGAATATAGCATTACTTTGTATTCATTGAATTCAATATAACTAAAATATTTCTAATAAGCAAAGCTTTTCTTGGAAAGAATAGAAAAAGAAGATTTACTAATACAAGAATTTAAGATTCTATTCAATATCTTAATTAGAAAAGCATAATCATGCATACAGAAAACTTGCTAAATACTTATAAGAGATTATTAAGAATAACAACTAATAAAAAAGAAATGATATTATAATTCATCCAATATACAGATTACGAAAACAAATTATAAACAAATAAGAACTAAATATTATAACTCAACATTAGATAATTTACAAGAATTATATAATCCAGGATTAGAATTATAAGCTAACCAATCAGAAGAGCTTATCTATGCTTATCAAGCTTTAGTAAGCACTACTAAGCAGCAGTAAGCCTTAGTAAGCATCAGCAAGCCACATTGAAGAGCTGAATATATAACTATACATTCATTATCATTAAATAAATCATTATATATAGCTCTTTAATTGTTAATCTAAGTATTCAGTTTTCTATACTAAGTAGCTTCAAAGGCAGTGAATACTTGCATTGCTCATTAGAACTTGTATAGTTCTATATTCAAGAACTTAATACTTTAATACCGCTCTTATTAGCATAAACTTCTTATATACTTAGGAATCTTCGGATTACTGCAGTTGTAATGAGCACTGCAGCAATCCGAAGATTCCTAAGTATATGAAGAAGTTTATGCTAATAAGAGCAGTATCAAAGTATCAAGTTCTTGAATATGGAATTGTACAAGTTCTAATAAACAATACAAGTATTCACTGCCTTTGGAGCTACTCAGTATATAAGACTGAATACTTAGATTGATAACTGAAGAGCTATATACTGAATCTATCTAATAATAATAAATGTATTCTTATATATCTAGCTCTTTAGTTCTGATTAATCTAATTATATTATGATTTCTTATAATTATTTCTCCGAATATATTAATTATATTCATAGCTAATATAATTGCGCTAGCAATCCTAATCTGAGTTATATAATTCTGATTAGTATCCGATATTAGATTATAATATTTAATCTCTTAATTAGTAAAGCTTATTCTATAATCTGCATATTAAATAAATTATAATATTATCTTTCTTCTATTAATCATTATTTTCAATAATCTTCTATAAATATTCTAACAAATTCTTCATATGCATAATCTTGTTTTCCTGATTAAGATATTAAATAGAATTAACAAATTCTATATTTGCAAATCTTCTTCCGTTCCAAAGAGTATTCAAGATCGAGATCTCTTAGTTTCCTGCCTTTTGGAAAATTTTGTTGAGATGCTTATCTGTTCCTATTGCAAAGATTATAGTTTCGGATTCTGCAAGATATCTCCCGGAAACTCTTCTTGTTATATTGAATGCATTCAACTAAGCTGCTCCAAGTGCAATGTTATAAGCTCTTCTTCTGAGAAGCTTTGCAATATTGCTACTTAATATTGAAAGTTGGAGAATAAGATTAAGAAAAGGAAGACTGAGCTTCTTTATCTGCGCTAATAAAAGCGGATGTAATCCGAGAAGATGAAATGTGCTCTGTATTATAATATTACTTGCATAAAGGAATTGGATTATATAAAAGCTGAGAAAGCTGAAGCTGAAAGAGTGCATATTGCTGCTGAAGTGCAGGCTATAGTAGTAGAGGAATCTGTTGTTGTAGCTGGAGATTCTTCTTTCAATAGTTTCGATTGAAACTCTGTGAATTTGGAAGATTCTATAATAGATTAGTTGAGCTTTCTGAAAAGTGAGATTTCCGAAGCTTCTGAGTTTCGGTCTGGGGCGGAGCAATCGTCTTAAGTGCTAGCTTTTCTTTTCCAATATTCAGCTACTTTTTCCTGAGCATTTTTAACGTTTTTCTGCAGTTTTCAAGAATTTTCGCTTGCTGAATAATCTTTCTATTTAACAAGATATTCCTTTATATTATTTATACTTCTGTGCTTAAGAATCTTCTCTACTTCATATTCTAATTCATTATTCTCCACTTTTGCTGTATTATCTATTAATATTTCCTATACTGCTAATTCTAGCAGTAAAATATAAAAGACTGAGTATATTCTCATTCTATAAAGTAATACTAACTTATAATTAACTAGGAAGATTTATTGCAGAATTTTGAAGAATTCCAGTTTTTTATAATCAAGTTTATTGCTAGATCTGATTATTTTAATATTTTTTCGAAATAAATAGATCTTATCTTCCTTTTATAAGATTAGTTTCTCAATTCTTTTGGAGTTTGTATATTGCATTATTCATTCTTGAATGAATTGTAATTCTGATTGGAATTTCTCTTGAACTTTCTTAATCTTCTTAATTCTTTTATCTGCAGCTTCTATATCTGCTTCTAGTAATACTTTGTAGTAAGCTATTAGATTATATTTATAGAATATAAAGAATAATAATTTCTTTATTATACTTATATCTGTGCTATTATAAGCAAATTGTATAAGAAATAATAAATTAATTTAATTATTCTATTCTTAGTTAATATAGTATTAAAAATACTATTTAATAATCTAATTCATTCTTTCTATTTATTTATCTATTTGCAAGTAAAATGCTATAAATATTCTGTAATATATTTCAAGCTGTTTTATAAATAAAATTTAAAATTTTGAGTTAAACTTTCTATTTTTATTAGAAATTACTTTTTCTAGCATGCTATGATTAATAATAATTATTCTAAGAAATACATATGCAAGTTCTTCTGCTATACTGCTTTCCTTATAGAGAAGAAAGTAAGTATACTTACTTAGTTTACAAATCATTATTAGAATGCTATTATATTATACTTTAGTTAAGAGTTTTTATAAAAAAAATAGCTTAATAATGAAATCTAAACTAATGAATTGCTAAATAGTTATAAATACTAATAAGAAATATAGTAATTTATAAGACTTATATCTTTCTGCTTTATTCTTCTTATAGCTATTGCATTATTATAAAATATTCTCAATCCTTTTTCTAAAGCTTAATAGATTCTAGTATCTTTTAATATATTCATAAATTGCTCTAACTTTCTAGTATTTATATGCTAGTATACTGTATACATTCTTAATATAGTTATTTTATTTATTCGGAATTATTAATTCTGAATTCCTTTCTAAAGATTCAATTCTGAAAGCAGCATTTAGTTCTCAATATATATTAACAAGATTTCTTAACTTATCTTGAACAAAGATATTCTATATATCCGAGAAATCTATATCTCAATAATCTGCTCTTCTGCTAAAAGCATTTGCTTATTCATTTTCTGAGCTTTTGCAATATACAATTTTAAAATCGAATTATAAAAGGAATTCTGCTTATCTAACTTATTACTTATTCAAAATCTTAATTATTATAAATATAATTAGATTCTTATAATTTGAATGAACTATAATCGGATATTATATACTAATAAAGTAGTATTGCTACTTTTCAAAAGCTTTTACTATTGCTATAAATTCCTGATTAGAAATTTCGTAATTAATTTCCAAGCTATTTAACTTCTTTGAGAAGTTGCTTATAATTCTTAGATGCTCTTGATTATCTTGCTAGCTAAGTTGTTCTTCAAATACATATTCTAATATATCAGTCTCAATTTTAAAGAATTTATAGAGATCTGCTTTATATAGAACTAGCTCTAAAGTAATATGCTTGATAATCTTATTAAAAGCTTCTTATATCTTAAAGATTTATTCAAAGAATTGATTTCTTTTAGTAAGATTTGTAAGAGAATGTATAATTCAGCTATAGTTCTTAATAAACTATTTATAAAAGTTGATATATTTGAGAAAAGATCTAATATTCCTAATATTTCTAAGAATTAGCTAGTTTCTAACAGCTTTTATCTTATCTTTCTATAGCTTAATACATTCTAGCTTGATTATAAATCCGAGATAGTTAATCTTTTGTATATAAAAGTAACTCTTTGCAGATTTTACAAAGAGTTTTGCATCTTGAAGCATTTGCAACACTATTTTCACATATTCCTTATATTCTTCAAGTATTCGAGAGTAGATAAGAATATTATCGAGATAAGCAATAATGAACTGATTCAGATGCTTGTATAGAACATAATTAATCATTTCCTGAAATAAAGCTAAGATATTCATTAAATTAAAAAGTATAACCAAATATTTGTAGTATTCGTAGCATATTCTGAAAGCAGTTTTTCATTCTTTTTCTTCTTTTACTCTAATCAGATTATAAGCTTCTTTTAGATTTAGAACTATAAACTATTATACTCCTTGCAATCTATCTTATAATTCTTTAATAAGTAATAATAAATATTAGTTCTTAATTATAATATTATTGAATTGCTTATAATTAATATATAGCTTAAGCTTGCTATTTTTCTTAAATATAAACAGAATAGGATATTCTGCTAATGATTATAATAATTGTATATATTCTTTCTTAAGATTCTTATTAAGATACTTCTAAAGTGCTTCTAGTTATACTTTATCTAGTTTGTAAATAGGGAAGAATTTAAGCTGTTTCCCTTCTTATAGCAGGATCTCATAGTTATATAAGCTGTATTCTGACAATCCTGTATTCAATTCTTTCTAAAATAGTTTTTTAAACTTGTAATATTCTTATAGTATATTTGCAAGTATTAGTTCTGATTCTTATGCTATTTCTGCTATTTGGAGAAACAGTAGGTATTGTTAAGCATGCTTCTTTTCTAATGGCGTTTTCAAGGGTCTTGAGTATTCACTCCGGGCTGAACCGAGCGCTTGAGAGCTTGATTTTGAGATTTTTTTTGTATAATTTCATAATTCATATTCTGAAGCTTTTCCTTGTTATTTCAAAGCGAACTAACTTGCTGAGAATCTCGCTTCCATTGTTTTGCTAACTTATTAGCACTTTAGCATTATTTGGATTCGCTTATTACTAGATTCTTCTCTTTGAACTGCTAGCTCTACTAACTTGAAGATATATATAAAGTTATATGAAGCTTCTTTTTCTAAGTATTCTTTAATCACTAGCTTCGATCCTACACTATTAATTGTAACTATCTCTCTAGATATAGCTTGTTCTCATGAGATCTAGCTAGTAATTCAATCAATTCGAGAATTATATTTCTTAAGCTATAGAAGCTTCATAATTAGCTCATATTATGCTATATCTATAATATTAAAGAAAGCTCTGATTATACATTCTTGAATTAAGATAGATAAATAATTAGTTTTCTTATTGATTACTTCTTAGTTATATGCAACAGATTATCTTTTTACAGTGCTAAGAGTATATAAGCATCTTTTCTATCTTTATTATAATTGTGCTTGATTGATAATATATAGAGATATAAAGTTTCTCTAAGCGCTACTATTCAATAGTATGCTGTATTTATATTTTTGAATGTATATATTAAACTTAATATAAGTATAATCTGTTTTGAAAGCTTTATATAGAAATCATTCTAGTCTAATTATCTGCAATCTCTTTATAAGCAATTCTATTCTTTTGAGTTTATTAAGAACTGCTTATTCTTCTAAGCTTACTTCGCTACTTCTTAAGCAAGCTTCTTAGCTTGCTTTTACTTGTATTATTATTATTTCTAATCTTTCTTCTATCAATACTAGTTGCAAACTTTATTATTAATATAAATTATGCAGAATATTATCTTATACTGCTACCATTTTATTTTCTTATTTATATATTGCATAAAGCAGTTATCTAGTAGTTCAATATATGCATTATAATACTATTTATTGAAAACTTTTCTGAAGCAGAGTTTCTATTCTTTAATAGCTTAAAGAATTTATTCTAATTCTTTAATAGAGAACTATTCGTATTATATCTTGTTTGAGAAATGCATTCTGTAGCTATAATAGATATAGAAGATTCATGCTAGTTCGTAGTATAGATTGTAAAGTAAGCTGATTTAAGGATTCTCATCTTCTTATACTTTAATATTCTGCAAGAAGATGCAGATAAAGAGCTCTTTCAGCTCTATTCTGTAAATGAAATATTCAACTTATATTGTTTCCTTGTTCTACTCAATGCTGAAGGGAAACCTTTTTTTAAGCTTGTTGAGCATATTGTTTGTAGGGAGCTTCTGCAGGCTGCTAGATTATTTGTTCTAGCTTAATCCTTCTGTTGCTTGAGAAGCATTCTCTATATTACTTAGATATTTATACTAGTAGCTAAGAGAATATTATTTCTTATTTATATTTCTGATTATAATGCTTAGTATAAGTAATAGAAAACGTTGAAAGATATCATTATTAAGCTCTTCTTCCAGCGCTTAAATGCTTTGTTTTATAATATTAGAGCAGTCCGAGTTGCTATTTATAGAAGTGCTGAGTATACATTCTTGCTCTGCTATTGCTATTTATCTGCAGCGCTAAAGCTTCTGAAAGAACTATTCTGAATCTTTCTTACTTAAAAGATATATTAAGCAGTTATTGTTATAGCAGAATATTCAGCTAAGACTTCTATAATTAATAGAATTTAATATTTGCTTCAAGAGAGTATTTTTGCTTAGTTGATTGGATTCCTATTATCGAGCAATATTTATCTGATATTCTTTCTAAACTAATTGCTATTTATTCTTTCGGAATTAATAGCAGTTGCATATAATATGCTCTTGTTTATTACAGTTGTAGCAAATAATGCTATTTCTCTTATTATACTGCTTATTAGCTGCATTGAGTTTTATGAAATCAGCATATATAGTACTGCTTTAAGCTGTATTGCTATATTAATTACTATTCTTATTTTGAAGTTTCTTGCTTATATTAGCTAGAAATCTCTAAGTTTAGCTTCTTCCCTTCTTGGATTTCTCTACTTATTGCTTATATAAATAGTTATTAATGCGGATTGCTTAATTAGAAAACATTGCAAAGTTCTCTAGCTAATTCTGCTTAAAGATCTTATTCTTAATATCATTCTTAAATTCCTTATAATAATGCTTTATAAGATTCTTATCTTTCTATAAAAGTTGTACTAAGAGTTGCTTAAATCTAACTATATAAGCAAAAGCTAATTTAGTCTGCTTGAGATCTATAAGCTGCTAAGCTATAGTACATTCTTTATTGAAATTATTAAAGATTTCTTTGAAAGCTTTTTTAAAGCTTTCAAAGGAATTAAATATATTCTTAGTATTCTGAATATATATATTAGAATTGTTCTAATATTCCAAGTAGTTGTATAGAGAAAGCTTGTATTAGATAAGAGTATTCTTTTTGAAACAAATCCTTATAAGAATAATCTTCTCAGATTCCATAATAAACTGAATTGTATAATGCAAAAAGTATGCTCTGCAATAAGTAAGAAATCTATATAGCATTTTCTGATTGCTATTATATATAGCAAGCTTATTCATCTTGTATGCTTTCTCAGCATTACTGATAACTGCAGAAGTGAACTGCGCCTGCTGAGCTTATTAAGCTAGCTGAATCTGCTAGTTAGCAATGATAACGCTTTGAGCCTGCTATTGTTTGTACAGATTCTGGATATGCTAGATAAGCTGATATACCTAGTTAATCAGTTCTTCCTGAATAGAAGCATATAAGAATGAAGAGATTCCTGAAGAAGCTATTATATTTCGTATTACTCAAAAAAATAATACTAAACCATTCTTAAACAAGAATTATTAAAATATAATAAGCACTGCAGCAATCCGAAGATTCCTAAGTATACAAAGAGATTTATGCTAATAAGAGCAGTATTAAAATATCAAGTTCTTGAATACAGAACTATATAAGTTCTAATAAGCAATGCAAGTATTTACTGCTTTTGAAGCTACTCAGTATATAAGACTGAATACTTAGATTAACAACTGAAGAGCTATATATTGAATTTATCTAATAATAATGAACGTATTCTTATATATTCAGCTCTTCAGTTCTAACTAACCTGATTATATTATGATTCCTCATAGTTATCTCTCCGAATATGTTGACTATGTTCATAGCTAACATAGTTGCGCTAGCAATCCTAATCTGGATTACGTAATCCTGATTGGTACCCGATGTTGGGTTGTAATACCTGGTTCCTTGGTTGGTGAAGCTTATTCTGTGACCTGCATGTTGGATGGGTCATAACAGCAGTGCTCATTACATCTATTTATTTTGATTCAAGAATATATAATTAAGATTTCCTTTAATATTACGAATATAGCATAGTATAAGCTAATTATAGAACTTTTATAGCTTAAGAAGTATAATTCTTAAATCAATTGAACTATTAGCTAAATCTTGTAAGAATAAGCTGTATCCAGAGAAATAGTTACAATTAATAGCGCAGAATGGAAATTAGTTATTAAAGAATACTCAGAAAAAGAAGCTTTATATAACTTTATATATACTTTTAAATCAGCAGAACTAGCAATTCAAGAAGAAGAATCTAGTAATAAGCAAATCCAGATAGTACTAAAGCGCTAATAAGTTAGCAAAACAATGAAAGCAAGGCTCTTAGCAAGATAGTTTGCTCTGAAGCAATAAGAAAAAGCATTAGAAAGTGAATTATAAGTTTATATAAGAAAAACCTTGAAACTAAGCTCTTAAGCGCTTAGTTCAGCTTGGAGTAAATGCTTAAGGCTTTCAAAAATATTACTAAAAACAATAAACGAAAAGAAGTATACTTAATAGTATCTATTATTTCTTCAGATAGCAGAAATAGCATATAAACTAGAATTAATACTTGCAAACATATTATGAGAATATTACAAGTTTAAGAAACTATTTCAAGAAGAATTAAATACAGAATTATCAGAATACAGCTTATATAATTACAAGATTCTATTATAAGAAGAGAAACAGCTCAAATTCTTCCTTATTTACAAATTAAACAAGGTATAACTAGAAGCGCTTAAGAAGTATCTTAATAAAAATCTCAAAAGGAAATATATATAATTATTGCAATTATCAGCAGAATATCCCATTCTATTTATACCAAAAAAGAATAGCAAGCTTAAGCTATATATTGATTATAAGCAACTTAATAACATTGTAATAAGCACTGCAGCAATCCGAAGATTCCAAAGTATACAAAGAGGTTTATGCTAATAAGAGCAGTATTAAAGCATTAAGTTCTTGAATACGGAACTGTACAAGTTCTGAGAGATAATGCAAGTATTCACTGCCTTCGGAGCTATTAGAGTAAGAGAGAATAATCTAATACTTAGATTAATAACTGAAGAGCTATATATAAGATCTATCTAATGGGAATAAATGTATTCTTATATATTCAGCTTTTCAGTTCTGTTGGTAGTATTGGTTGTTGGATTACTTGGATTATTTGAGTGATCTAACTGATTCGGATTATTATGAATCAGCTACTGATTCATTCTGATCTTGTAATCCTAATTCTTGCTTATGTAAGCCTTAGTTCCTGAGATATTGAATTCTTTCCTGTTTCTTCGAATAGTTATTCCCGAGTATTCTGTATTATAACCCATCCAACATGCAGGTCACGAAAACAGGTCACAGGCAAACAAGAACCAGGTATCATAACTCAACATCAGACAACTCATAAGAATTACGTAACTCAGGATTAGGATTATAAGCCAACCAATCAGAAGAGCTCATCTGTGCTTACTGAGCTTCAGTAAGCACTACTGAGCAGCAGTAAGCCTCAGTAAGCATCAGCGAGCTATACTGAAGAGCTGGATATATAATCACACATTCATTACCATTAGATAGATCATCGTACATAGCTCTTCAGTTATCAATCTAAGTATTCAGTCTTCTATACTGAGTAGCTCCAAAGGCAGTAAATACTTGCATTACTTATCAGAACTTGTATGGTTCCGTATTCAAGAACTTGATACTTTGATACTGCTCTTGTTAGCATAAACCTCTCGTATACTTAGGAATCTTCGGATTACTGCAGTGCTCATTACATTCTAGCTAGTGATTTGCATGTTGAATGAATTATAATATTATCTCTTTCCTATTAATCATTATTTCTAATGATCTTTTGTAAGTATTCTAGCAGTTCTTTGCATACAGGATTATGCTTTTCTAATTCGGAATATTGAATAGAATTAATAAATTGTATTTTAATTATTTAGTGAAAACTCAAAAGTGCTATCGTTTTGCTAAGCTTATTTCTGCTTTTGATATTGAGATGCCTGTTTATGCTTATTGTTGGGAGATGAGAGCTTTCTGTTGTTTTGCTGAAAACTCTTCTTGTTGTGAGAAGTGTATTTCTCTGAGTTAAAGCTATGATACTGGTTGTTTCTCAGCTTCTGCTGATTAGTTTCTTTGCTTCTTGGTATTTTTCGTAATTACTAATCTTCCTTTTCAGCGGGGTGTTTGATTTGTGAAAAGCGTAAGATTTTGAGCGAGGAGGCTGAAGCGGAGTTAGCAAATGCTATTGCTCTACAAGCCTTGCTAGCATTATAGGCTCATCTCGATTGTATGCAGAAATAGCGGAAGCTATTGAAGAAGCAAGCTATTGAACCAGAACTAGGGCGCCGTCGCCCTCGAAAGAAAAAGGGACAAACAGCTGCCGAAGCAATGAGCAAGAGCTCGTGCAACCCAAGCGTGCCTGTGCAGATGAGGACAGCAAACTAAGGCCACACGGGCGCAAGAACAGGGTAAAAAACCTGTCTTAGACCTATCCAAAGGATTCAAAATTGAAAGGAAGAGAAAGGATGCTTTTTTTGTTGCTTATAGCTAAAGAATTTGAAAAGTGGGTGATATCCTTTATATGTATGAGAACCCTTGACCCACTGTACTCCATGTCCCACGGACTACCACCCTGGCCACCACAACACTATAGAAATGATTCGTTGTAGCTTTAATTTCTTGAAGGAGTTTGCTGATAAGAAGGATTGCAGTTTTTGTAAAGAGGAGATTTGTCTGATGTTTTAGGGATATCTTGAAATTATTGATTGGAATTTCTTAGCTCTTGATTCTAGCATATCTGGTTAGCTTTTCCTTCTGGAGAGTGAAACTGTAGCACTTGATTCTCATTCCGGAATAGAGCAGTTTTAAATAGTAGTTTCTATTATTGTTGTAATGCTAAGATAACTATTAGTAGTATAGCAGTAGGATTGAAGCTAGTTTTTGTTTTCTAGTATTTTATCAATTTTTTTATAGCGTTTCTGATATTTTCCTGTGATTTCTATGAATTCTTGCTTGCTAGATAATCTTTCTATTTGATAAGATATTCGAGCATGTTGTTATTGCTTCTGTGCTTGAAGATTCTTTCTATCTTGTATTCTGATTCATTATTCTCAACTTCTACTGTATTATCTGTTAGTATTTCTTTCGCTGCTGATTCTAGTAGCGAGATGTGGAAAATCAGATATATTTTCATTCTGTAAAGTAGTACAAGTTTGTAGTTAACTGGGGAAATTCTTTATAAAATTTTGAATAATTCTAGTTTCTTGTAATTAAGTTTGCTGCTAGATTTGATTATTTTGATATTTTTGCAAAGTAAGTATACTTTATCTCCCTTCTATAGGATTAGTTCTTCAATTCTTTTGAAATTTGTATAATATATTATTTGTTCTTAAGCGAATTATAATTCTAACTAAAGTTCTTCTTGAATCTTCTTAATTTTTCTGATTCTTTTATTTGCAGCTTCTGCATCTGCTCCTTGCAGTGCTTTGTAATAAGCTATTGGATTGTATTTGTAAAGTATAAAGAATAATGATTTCTTTATTATGCTTATATTTGCGTTATTGTAAGCGAATTGTATTAGAAATAATAGATTAATTCAGTTATTCTGTTTCTAATTAATATAGTATTGAAGATACTATTCAATAATTTGATTCATTCTTTCTATCTATTCATCTATTTGGGAATAAAATGCTGTGAATATCTTGTAGTATATTTCAAGCTGTTTCATGAGCAAAGTTCAGAATTTTGAGTTGAACTTTCTATTTCTATTAGAAATTACTTCTTCTAGCATGCTATAATTAGCAATGATCATTCTGAGGAATGTATATGCAAGTTCTTCTGCTGTACTGCTTTCCTTATATAAGAGAAAGTAAATATATTTGCTCAGTTTGCAAATCACTACTAGAATGCTATTGTATAGCATCTTAATTAAAAGTTCTTGTAAAGATAGTAGCTTAGTAATGAAGTTTAAACTAATTGATTACTAAATAGTTATAAGTACTGATAAGGATTATAGCAGTTTGTAAAGCTTATATCTTTCTGCTTTATTCTTTTTGCAGCTATTGCATTGTTATAGAATATTTCCAATTCTTTTCCTAAAGCTTAATAGATTTCAGTATTTTTTAATATATTTATAGGTTGCTTTAACTTTCTAATGCTTATATGCTAATATATTATATATATTCTTGATATAGCTGTTTTGTTTGTTTAGAATTATTGATTCTGAATTCTTTTCCGGAAGTTTAATTCTGAAAACAGTATTTAGCTCTCTATATACATTAATAAGATTTCCTGATTCATCTTAAGCGAAAATATTCTATATATCTAAAGAGTTTATATCTTGATAATCTGCTCTTCTGCTAAGAGTATTTGCTTGTTCATTCTCTAAATCTTTGCAGTATATGATTCTGAAATCAAACTATAAAAGGAATTCTGCTTATTTAACTTATTATTTATTTAAAACTTTGATTATTATGAATATAATTAGATTCTTATGATTCGAGTGAATAATAATCTGATATTATATGCTAATGAGATAATGCTGCTACTTCTCGAAAGCTTTCATTATTGCTATAAGCTCTTGATTAGAGATTCTGTAATTAATTTCTGAGCTATTCAACTTTTTCGAAAAATTGCTTATAATTCTTAGATGCTCTTAGTTGTTTCGTTGATTAAGTTGTTTCTCAAGTATATATTCTGATATATTAGTCTTAACTTCGAAAGATTTATAAGGATTTGCTTTGTATAGAATCAGTTCTGAGATAATATGCTTGATAATCTTATTGAAAGCTTCTTATTCTCTGAGAGTTTATTTGAAAAGCTGCTTCTTTTTAGTAAGGTTTGTAAGAAAATGTGCAATTCAGCTGTAGTTCTTGATAAACTACTTGTAGAAGTTGATATAGCTGAGAAAAGATCTAATATCCTTAATATTCTAGAGGATTAGCTAGTTTTTAATAGCTTTTATCTTATTCTTCTGTAGCTTAATATATGCTAGCTTAATTGTAAATCCGAGATAATTAATTTTTTGTTTATAAAAATAGCTTTTTGCTAGTTCTACAAGGAGTTTTGCATTCTGAAGTATTTGCAATATTATTTTCATATATTTCTTATATTCTTCTAGTATTCAAGAGTAAATAAGAATGTTATTGAGATAAGCAATAATGAACTGATCTAGATACTTGTATAGAATATGATTGATTATTTTTTGGAATAAAGCTGGAGCATTTGTTAAACTAAAGAGCATAACTAAATATTTATAGTATTTATAATATATTCTGAAAGCAATTTTCCATTTCTTTTCTTTCTTTATTCTGATTAGATTATAAGCTTTTTTTAGATCTAGGATTATAAATCACTGTACTCCTTGCAATCTATTGTATAGTTTCTTAATGAGTAGTAATGAATATTAGTTCTTGATTATAATATTGTTAAGCTGCCTGTAATTAATACAAAGCTTAAGCTTGCTATTTTTCTTGAATATAAACAGAATGAAATATTCTGCTAGTAATTGCAATGATTATATATATCTTTTCTTAAGATTCTTATTAAGATACTTTTTAAATGCTTTTAGCTGTATTTTGTTTAATCTGTAAATAGGGAAGAACTTGAGCTGTTTTCCTTCTTGTAATGAAATCTTATGATTATATAAGCTGTATTCTAGTAATCCTGTATTCAATTTCTCTTGGAATAGTTTCTTGAACTTGTAGTATTCTCGTAATATATTTGCAAGTATTGATTCTAATCTATATGCTATTTCTGCTGCTTGGAGAAATAGTAAGTATTGTTAAGTATGCTTCTTTTTATTTGTTATTTTTAGTAATATTTTTGAGGATCTTGAGCATTCGCTCTGAGCTGAACTGAGTACTTGAGAGCTTAGCTTCGAGATTTTTTTCGTATAAACTCATAATCCACTTTCTGAAGCTTTTCCTTATTGCTTCAGAGCGAACTGACTTGCTGAAAGCTTCGCTTCTGCTATTTTGCTAACCTGTTAGCGCTCTAGCATTATCTAAGTTTGCTCATTGTCAGGTGGAAAGGTTGCAAAGGCAATGTGGCGAGGTCTTTTCTCTCTTTCAGGGGTATACAACCAGAATAACATTGAGGCCTAAGGAGCTAAGTTCTGCTCAGCAGTGCTAACGTGGCTAGAAAGCCGCTTTATAGCCGCATATTGCTTAGTCATCCGTAATCCAGCTAGCTTAGCTAGCCCTGAGCCTTGCTAGCACAATCAGCCCTAACAGATTATTCCCCCTTATCAAGCCTTATCCTCAAGGCCTTTGAGGCTTCCGAGCTTTCGTTGCTTTCAGGCTTCCGTTGCTCCCAAGCTTCCGTTGCTCCCAGGCTTCCGTTGCTTCCAGACTTTCGCTGCTTCCTAGCTGCTCCTACGCTTTCTCAATGCTTCAGGCTCTTAAGATCTCTCAGTGCTTCAGGCTTCTCAAAGCTTCTCAAGATCTCTCAGTACCTCAGATTTCTCAAAGCCTCTCAAGATCTCTCAGTGCCTCAGGCTTCTCAAGGCCTTTCAAGATCTCTCAGTGCCTCAGGCTTCTAGGCCACTCAAGGTCTCTCAAGGTCTCTCAGTGCCTCAGGCCTCTCAAGATCTCTCAGTGCTTCAGGTTTCTCAAAGCTTCTCAAGATCTCTCAGTGCTTCAGGCCTCTCAAGGCCTCTCAAGGTCTCTCAGTGCCTCAGGCCTCTCAAGGCCTCTCAAGGTCTCTCAGTGCCTCAGGCCTCTCAAGGCCTCTCAAGATCTCTCAGTGCTTCAGGCTTCTAAGCCACTCAAGATCTCTTAAGATCTCTCAGTGCCTCAGGCCTCTCAAGGCCTCTCAAGGTCTCTCAGTGCTTCAGGCCTCTCAAGGCTTCTCAAGATCTCTCAGTGCTTCAGGCTTCTAAGCCACTCAAGGTCTCTCAAGATCTCTCAGTGCCTCAGGCCTCTCAAGGCCTCTCAAGATCTCTCAGTGCCTCAGGCCTCTCAACCATCTCCCTCCTTCTCTTCTGGCTTCATCCTCGAAGCCTGTGAAAAAAAAATCTCTTTTTAATCACATTCCAGATATAAGTCTTCCGAATGCAATACCTGCACCATATACGCTGCTCAGTCGCTGCTCCCTTAGCACTTTATCCAAATACTCTTCAGAACTTAAAGCTATTTGATATAGATTGCAAGTGTTATAACTCATCCAACATGCAGGTTACGAGAACAGGTTACAGGCAAACAAGAACCAGGTGTCATGATTCAACGTCAGACAATCCACAAGGATTACGTAATCCAGGGTTAGGATTACAAGCCAACCAATTAGATAATAGAGCGATTACTAGTAATTACTAGCGCTCAGTAATCAGTAGTAATCCGATATAATCAGTGATAATCTAGGATAATTACTAGCAAGCAAGAAACTAAAGAACTAAGTATATAAAGATTTACATTTCTTACTATTAGATAGATTCTCTTTAGATAGTTCTTCAGTTGTTAATCTAAGTATTCAGTTTTATATACTAAGTAGCTCCAAAAGCAGTAAATACTTGCATCGCTTATTAGGATTTGTACGATTCTATATTCAAAAACTTGATACTTTGATACTGCTCTTGCTAGCATAAATTTCTTTGTATATTTAGGAATCTTCGGATTGCTGCAGTGCTTATTATATTTTGATAACTCTTATTCAAGAACGGTTCAGTATTACTTCTTGAGTAATACGGAATATGATAGCTTCTTTAAGAACTCTTTCGTTCTTGCGCATTCTTATTTAAGAGGAATTGATTAATTAGATATATTAGCTTATTCAGTGTATTCAGAATCTATACAAATAATAGCAAGCTTAAAGCGCTACTATTGCTAACTAATAAGCTTAACTAGCTTAGCAAGCTTAATAAGTGCAGTTTATCTTTATAGCTACTAATAGTGCTGAGAAGGTGTATAAGATGAATAAGCTTGCTATATATAATAGCAATTAGAAAATGCTGCATAAATTTCTTATTCATTGCAAGATATATTTCTTGCACTATGCAACTCAGTTTATTATAGAATCTGAGAAGATTATTCTTGCAGGAATTCATTTCGAAAAGAATGCTCTCATTTAATACAAGCCTTTTCTATGCAATTACTTGGAGCATTAGAATAATTCTGATATGCATATCTAGGATACTAAGGATATATTTGATTTCTTTAAAAGCTTTGAAAAAGCTTTTAAGGAAATCTTTAATAATTCCAATAAAGAATGCATTATAGCTCAGCAGCTTATAGATCTTAAGCAAACCAAGTTAGCTTCTGCTTATATAATTAGATTCAAGCAGCTCTTAGCAAGATTTTCGTAAGAAGATAAGAATCTCATGGAATATTATTATAAGGAACTTAAGAATAATATTAAAAATGAAATCTTCAAGCAGAATTAGCTGGAGAATTTTGCGATGTTTTTCAATTAAGCTATCTGTATCGATAATTGTTTGTATGAATAATAAATAAAGAAGTTCAAGAAGAAAGGAAGCTAAACTTAGAGATTTCTAGCTAATATAAACAAGAAATTCCAAAATAAGAATAGCAGCTGATATAGCAGTACAGCTTAGAGCAGCACTATACATACTAGTTCTATAGAACTCGATGCTACTAATAAACAATATAATAAAAGAAATAGCATTATTTGCTACAATTATAATAAATAAGAATATATTATATATAATTGCTATCAATCTCGGAAGAATAAATAGCAATTAGTTCAGAAAGAATACTAGATAAATGTTGCTTAATAATAGAAATCCAATTAACTAAGCAAAAATACTCTCTTGGAGCAAGTATTGAACTTTGTTAATTATAGAAGTTTTAGCTGAATATTCTGCTATGATGATAACTGCTTAATATATTTCTCGAGTAAGGAAGATTCAGAATAGTTCTCTTAGAAATCTAGATGCTGCAAACAAATAGCAATAGCAGAATGAGAGTATATACTTAGTATTCTTATGAGTAGCAACTTGAGCTGCTTTGATATTGTAGAACAGAGTATCTAAGTATTGAAAGAAAAGCTTAGCAATAATATTCTTTAATGTTCTTCATTGCTTATGCTAAGCACTATAATTAGAGATATGAATAAGAAATAGTATCTTCTTGGTTATTAGTATAAATATCTGAATAATACTGAAAACGCTTTTTAAGCAATAGAAGAATTAAGCTAAAGCAAACAATTTAGCAGCTTGCAGAAGCTTCCTATAAACAATATACTTAACAAGCTTAAAGAAAGATTTCCCTTTAGTATTGAATGGAATAAGAAAATAATATGAGTTGAATATCTTGTTTATAGGATAAAACTAGAGAAGCTTTTCATCTGCATCTTCTTATAAAATATTAAGATATAAGAAGATAAGAATTCTCAGATTAGCTTACTTCATAATCTATACTACGAACTAGCTTGAATCTTTTATATCTATTATAGCTGCAGAATGCATTTCTTAGATAAGATGCAATATAAATGATTCTTCGTTAAAGAATTAGGATAAATTCTTTAGGCTGTTGAAGAATAGGAATTCCGCTTCAGAGAAGTTCTTAATAGATAATACTATAATGCGTATATCGGGCTATCAGATAATTGCTTTATATAATGCATAAATAAGAAAATAGAATAATAGTAATGCAAAATGATATTCTGTATGATTTATATTAGCAATAAGGTTTGCAATTGGTATTAATAGAAGAAAAACTAGAAATAATGATAATATAAGCAAAAGCAAGCTAAAAAGCTTGCTTAAGAAGTAGTGAAGCAAGCTTAGAAGAATAAGCAGTTCTTGATTAATTCAAAAGAATAGGATTACTTGTAAAGAAACTACAGATAATCAGATCAGAATAGTTTTTATATAAAGCTTTTAGAATAGATTATGCTTATATTAAGTTCGATATATATATTCAAAGATACAAATATAATGTATTATTAAATAGTAGCGCTCAGAGAAACTTTATATCTCTATATATTGTTAATCAGATATAACTATAATAGAGATGAAAGAGATGCTTATATACTCTTAGTACTGTAGAAAAACAATCTGTTGCATATAACTAAGGAGTAATTAATAAGGAGACTAATTATCTATCTATCTTGATTCAAGAATATACAATTAGAGCTTTCTTTAATATTATAAATACAGCATAGCATGAGCTGATTATGGAGCTTTCATAGCTTAAGAAGCACAATTCTCGAATCGATTGGATTACTGGTTAGATTTTATAGGAACAAGCTGTATCCAGAGAGATAGTTATAATTAATAGCGCAGGATTGAAGCTAGTAATTGAAGAATATTCAAGAAAAGAAGCTTCATATAATTTCCTATATATTTCTAAGTTAGCAAAGCTAGCAGTTTAAGGAGAAGAATCTAGTGATAAGCGAATCTAAATAATGCTAGAGCGCTAATAGATTAATAAAACAATGGAAGTGAGACTCTTAACAAGTTAGTCCGCTCCGGAGCGATAAGGAAAAGCTTCAGAATGTGAATTGTGAACTTACAAAGAAAAAATCTCGAAACTAAGCTCTTAAGCGCTCGGTTCAGCTTAGAGCGAATGCTCAAAGCTCTTAAAAACATTGCTAAAAACAATGAATGAAAAGAAGCATGTGTTATAACTCATCCAACATGCAGGTCACGAAAACAGGTTACAGACAAACAAGAACCAGGTATCATAACTCAACATTGGACAACTCATAAAGATTATGCAATCCAGGGTTAGGGTTACAAGCTAACCAATCAGAAGAGCTCACCTGTGCTCACCGAGCTTCAGTGAGCACCACTGAGCAGCAATGAGCCTCAGTAAGCATCAGCAAGCCATACTGAAGAGCTGAATATATAAGAATATATTCATTCCCATTAAATAAATCTTATATATAGCTCTTCAGTTGTTAATCTAAGTATCAGATTACTCTTTACTCTGATAGCTTTAAAAGCAGTAAATACTTGCATTGCTTATTAGAACTTGTATAATTCCGTATTCAAGAACTTAATACTTTGATACTGCTTTTGTTAGCATAAACTTCTTCATATACTTAGGAATCTTCAGATTGCTATAATGCTTATTATATTTTGATAATTCTTATTTAAGAACGATTCAGTATTACCTTTTGAGCAATATGGAATACGATAGCTTCTTCAGAAACCTCTTCATTCTTGCATGCCCCTACTCAGGAAGAACTGATTAATTAAGTATATCAGCTTACTCAGCGTATTCAGAATCTGTGCGAACAATAGCAGGCTTAGAGTGCTATTATTACTAATCAACAAGCTCAGCTAGCTTAACAAGCTTAATAAGCGCAGTTTATCTCTATAGCTATTAGTAGCGCTGGAAAAGTATATAAGATAAATAAGCTTGCTATATATAATAGCAACTAAAAAATGCTGCATGAATTTCTTATCTACTGCAGAGTGTATTTCCTGTACTATGAAGCTTAGTTTATTAAGGAATCTGAGAAAGTTATCTTTGCAGGAACTCATTTCGAAAAGAATGCTTTTATTTAGTACAAATCTTCTCTATATAATTACTTGGAGCATCAGAATAATCCCAACGTATATACTCAGAGTATTAAGAATATGTTTAATTTCTTTGAAAGCTTTAAGAAAGCTTTCAAAGAAACTTTTAATAATTCTAATAAAGAATGTATTATAGCTTAGCAGCTTATAAATCTCAAGCAGATTAAATTAGCTTCTGCTTATATAATCAGATTTAAGCAACTCTTAGTATAATTTCTATAGGAAGATAAGAATCTTATAAAATATTATTATAAAGGATTTAAGAATGATATTAAGAATAAGATTTCTAAGCAGAATTAGCTAAAAGACTTTGCAATATTCTCCAATTAAGCTATTTATATCAATAATTATCTATATGAATGATAAATGAAGAAATTTAAGAAAAAAGAAAGCTAAATTTGAAAGTTTCTAGCTAATACAAGCAAGAAATTTCAAAATAAGAATAGCAATTAATATAGCAATATAATTCAGAGCAGCACTATATATACTAATTCTATAAAACTCGATGCTACTAATAAGCAGTAT